GAAGTCCTTTCGTACCCTGTTCCTAACAGTAAACTCAAGTATCCTCCCTCTTTATTTATACCAGTGGTCTCAGCTGGGGGCAATTTTGCTCCCCCTGCCCCCCCCCACCCCACGATGGAACAATTGGTAATGTCTGGAGACATTTTGCTTGTCACACTGCTATCAACATCTAGTGGGCAGAGGCCAAGGATGCTGCTAAACATCCTACAATGCACATGTAGGACAGTCCCCACAACAAAGAATTATGCCTCCCAAAATGTCAGTAGTGCTGAGGTAGAGAAACGCTGATTCATACCATTCCTTTTCCCACCATGGGCGACAGTGATGATGTATTTAGCATACACTGTTGTATATTTACTTTTCCAACGTGTGTGTTGTTGCTTTGTTGCTGTGTTTGCTTAATGTAAATGGTATCATGTTAAAATCTCATGCTGTTTCTCGCTTTTTTTTTTAGTCTCTGTTTTTAGACACTATCCATCTTCCTAGGTTTACAGCTACTGTTAAAACCAAGAACGGATGGGCCCATTGGCGCAGCTACACTACTCCTTGGTATCCATCTTGAAGAAACCTTCTCTTATTTCCTAAGAATGCATATATAATAATATTCTTTGTAGCATCATTTATAACATCAGAATATTGGAAACAAATTAAATGTTTTATAATACAAGATGGGTTAAATAGATTATAATATAAAATCTGTACTTTCTCATTCAATGTCAACTTTCTTGGGGCCAGTATCTGATTCGAATAGCTTCTAAGTGGGGGGCTGTCCTGTGCATTGTAGGATGTTTAGCAGCATCCCTGGCCTCTACCCACCAGATGCCAATAACACCACTCCTCTACTTGTGATGACCAAAAAGTATCTCCAGACATTTCCAAATGTCCCCCTGGGGAGGGGGAGAGAATTGCCTGTAGTTGAGAACCACTGGTGTAAATAAAGGGGAAAGATAAATAAATAAATTGAGGTAGGGAATTTGCATGGACCAATGACAATCATTCCTTATATTTGTATCAAACTTTGGAGTTTTTAATATAATCTGGCTTTCTAAAAACTACATTCAGTGTAGAAAAATGGGAATATATACATAAGCAAATAGAAAACAAACATATACACAATTCCACTACCTAGATCAACTATGATCTCCCCCTCTGGACACACATAGACACAGACACACACACCCCCATCCGCACACACATCCACATTCATTTTTCTTGCAAATGATGCTGCTTGATACATATTGTCCTACTATCTGCCTTTCTCACTTAACAGTATATCATTAGTATTTTGTGATGTTATATTACAGCATTTTAAAGCCTAATAGAAAAGCAGAACAGAAATTGATCCCACTTTAGAAATGAGGTCATTGAGGCTTAGTGAGGTTAAAATAATCTACAGTTAATAACAATCTGTTTTGTTCTCAGCTCCAACTATCAACAAAGATCTGGAAAAGGAAACCTAAGGAAAAAGATGTTCGAGAAGGTTAGGACATAGTCTTGTTTTTTTTTATCTCTTTTATGAGAAGGAATGAAGACTCCTGGCCCCATAGCATTACATGACACTTCAGAGAAGACAAAGGTGTACTGTTCTCCCTTTGTTTTTCTTCTTCCGATCGGTGGCTCTGTCATTCCTGGTGCACATGGAGGGGGAGGACGGGGAGAGGGAAGGTCCTGCTTCTGTTGTGACCGTGACACTCTGAACAGGCACTGGCCTCCCTCTAGTGGTGCATTAACATCATCACCCTACCTGAAGGAAGGCAGCTGCTTCTCTTTGGCCTGATCTCCCTTGTAAGTTGGTGAACTCCCATCTCTAGCGGTATTCAAGCTCTAAAACTCAACTCTAAAATCTTAGGAACCTTTTCTGAACCCTAGCTTCCAAGACTCCAAAATGAGAAACTTCTAGAATTCTGAGATTCCGTGACCCTGTTGGAGAATCTCTAGGTTGTTATCCTGGCTGTCCTCTACAAAAGGTTTTTCTCACAGACAAAGTCAGCCCCAAGCCTGCTCCCCACCATCTCAGAAGGCAGAGAGAATTGAGGACATACCTATTTCTGAGTACTTCATGACTTTTCTGCAGTTGATTTGGACAACATGTGTGAACAAATGGAGAACTCAGTGGAGAGATGAAAACTATAAAAAGTAGTCATAATGGAAATGCTGGTAATAAAAAAAATACTATGAAGAATTTTTGATAGGAGGTGAAGAATTCTTTTGATAGGATTATCAGTATACTCAATAAACCAAGGAAAGAATCTGTGAACTTGAAGATAGCTCAGTAAAAATTACTCAAATTGAAATACAAGGAGAAAAAAGAGTGGAAAAACTGGAACATCCGAGAGCTATAAGACAATATAAAACAGTCTAACATACGAATATATTGTAAATCCCAGAGGGACAAGAAAGAATGTGGCAAAAGAAATATTTGAAAAAATAATGGCCAAGAATTTTCAGAAAATAACGAAAGACATAAAACTACAGATCAAAAGTTCAGAGAAAAACACCAAACCAGAATACGATAAACACTAAAACACACACGCACACTCACCTAGACACATCATACTCAAACTTTGTTGTTGTTAGTGCCATTGAGTTGATTCTGACTCCTAGTGACCTGACCTGTGTACCACAGAGTGGAACGCTACCTGGTCTTTTTGTGCCATCCTCTCACCTTCTGGTGCTGTACCAGACAATGCTCTATTGCCATTCACAGGGTTTTGATGGCCAATTTTTTTGAAAGTGGGTAGCCAGGCCCTTCTTCCAAGGTCTGGAAGCTCCGCTGAAACCTGTCCACTGTGGGTAACATGCTGGTATTTGAAATACTGGTGGCATAACTTTCAGCATCACAGCAACATACAGCCACCACAGCCTGACAACTGACAGATGAGTGGGGTGGTTCCCTGACTGGGAAATGGACCCAGGCTGAGGCGGTGAGAGAGCCAAATCTTAACTACTAGACCAACACCTATTCAAACTACTGACAACCAAAAGTAAAGAGAAAAACCTGAAGCCATCCAGGGAAAAAAGACCTTTGCATATAGAAGAACAAACCTAAGAAGTGCAGCATCCTCGTTAGAAATCATGCAAACTAGCAGACGATGAAGTGATATCTTGAAAATGCTGACACAAAAACACCGTCAACTCAGAATTCTACATCCAGAGAAAATATTTTCCAAAAATGAAGGAGAAATAAAGACTTTTTTGAGACAGGCAAAAACTGAGATAATTGATTACCAGCAGATCTGTGCTGCAAGAAGTGTTAAAAGAAGTTCTTCAGGGAAAAAGAATATGACATCAGACAGTTAGAGATCTACAAAAAGGAATGAAGATCTTTGGAAATGGTTAAAGGAAAGGTAAATATAAAAGATATTTTTTTTCCTTATTTTTAATTACTCAAAGAGATTTGTTATCTAAAGCAAAGTCTATCTAAAGCAATAGCCTGTGGGCTGGCTGCCTACTTCTGTGAGTAAAGTTTTATTGGTACACAGCCATGCGCACTAGTTTATATATTGTCTATGGCTACTTTTGAGCAAGAACGGTAGAGTTAATTAGTTGTGATAAAGCCAATATGGACAGAAAGCCTAAAATATTTAGTATCTGGCCCTTTAAGAAAAGGTTAGACAACCCCTGGTTTAAAGCAAGAAATTAGCAATGTATTATGGGTTTATAGCATATATAACAATAAATATATGACAAAAATAGGACAAATAGGGAAGGAGGACTCGGTAGTATACTACTGTAAGGTTCTTATACTACACATGAAATGATATAATATTATTTTGAAGTAATCTGTGATTAGTTAAAGATATATATTAAAAATCCTAGGGTAACTACTAAAACAGTTAAAAGAGGTATACATAATAAGATGGAATCTTAAAAAATAATCAATTCATCCAAAAGCAAGAAGAAAGAAGGAAAAGCAAAGAGCAGATGGAACAAATAGAAAACAATTAGCAAGATGGTAGATTTTAATCCAACCACGTCAATAATTACCTTAAACATAAATGGTCTAAACACAATAATTAAAAGACAGAGTCAAATTGGATATAAAAGCAAGATCCAACTAAATGCAGTCTACAGGAAACCCAATTAAACTATAAAAACATAAACTTGTTAAACTTAAGGGGAAAAATGTATTACATGCAAAAACTAAGTTAAAGAAACCTAGAGTGGCTGTGTTAATATTAGGCAAAGTAGACTCTGGGAAAAGGAATATTGTCAGAGATAAAGAGAGACATTATGTCATGATAAAGGGGTCAATTTATCAAAACAAATCTAAATGATGTAAATGTGTATGCATCTAACAACAAACCTTCAAAATGTATGAAGCAAAAATTGATAGATTTGAAAGAAGAAATAAACAAATTCATAAATATATTTGGAGACTTCAATACTCTTCTCCTGATAATCAGTAGAACAAGCAGATGGAAAATCAATAAGTCTCTGTAAGATAAATCAACTTGACCTACTTAACATTTATAGAATGTTCCATCTAACACCAGCAGAATACACATTGTTTTCAAGTGCACATGGAGCATACACCAAGATAAACTATATTCTGGGCCATAAAACAAAGCTACAAACTTACAAGAAATGAAATCATGCAAAAAGAATGTTCTCTGACGAAAGTGGAACTAAACTAGAAATCAATAACAAAAAGGTATCTGGAAAACCACCAGATACCTGGAAATTAAATAAAACCCTTCTAAATGCATCAAAGAGAAAGTTGTATGGATAATTTGAAAATATTTTGAATTGAACAAAAAGAAACACAATGTATTGAAATGTGTGGGATGCAGCTAATGCAAGATTTGGAGCAGCACTGTCCAATAGGAATACAATTTGAGCCACAAATGCAAGTCATATATGTATTTTTAATTTGTCTACTATCCGCATTGAAGGAAGCAAAAAGAAAACAGGTGGAGTCAATTTTAGTATTATATTTTATTGGACACAATAAAAATTACTATTTCAACGTGTAATAATATAAAAATTATTAATGGTATATTTTACACTTTTTATACTAGATTCTCAAGATCTGGTGTTTATTTTACACTATGGCACATCTCAATTCAGACTAGTCACATTTCAAGTGACTTAATAACTACATGTGGTTAGTGAATACTGTATTAATGCAGGCTTAAAGGAAATTTTATAGCATTAAATGCTTATGCTAATCAATGATCTAAGCTCCCATGTCAAGAAACTAGAAATAAAAATTTAACCCAAAGCAAGCTGAAGTGAAGAAATAACACACATAACAGGAGAAATCCAGGAAATTGAAAACAGAAAAACGATCAATAAAACCAAAAGCTATTTGCTTGGAAAGATCAATAAAATCGATAAAGCTCTTCCTACACTGATCAAGAAAAAAAGGAAGAAGACATAGATCACCAATAACAGAAATGAAAGATGGGACATCGCTACAGATCCTACTGACATTAAAAGGATAATAAGGGAATGTTAAGAACAACCTTACCCCAGTCATGGTAAATGTCTTAATTTCTGAAGTTCTACATAAATTTGTGAAATGTTTTTATACTACAGAAACCCTCCTAGTGTAACCTGCATGACATGATAGCCCCTAGCTCAGAGATCAGGAGACCTATGTTCTAGTCCTGGCTCTGAAACTCAATCTCTGGGTAACCCAACATGCAGCCTCTGGTCTCTGGCCCTCAGCTCCCTTATCTGATGCTCCATGAATTACTGGTTACTTGCTGGAGAGGTTTGACTCAGTGTACCTCCAACTGAGTTCATAAATTTTAGAGGTGAGTCAGTAAGAAACAATGGAGGAAGAGAAATCTGCGGGTTATGTATTTCAGTCAGACAAGGTGTAGAAAACAGTCTACGCATCCAGAGTAAACGTATTCAGGCCACACAGATATGTTTCATGACATCCACAATCTACTATTTACAATGCCTCAGACAATGGCTACAAAAACATCATCCTTTAGATTCAGTAATTTAATCACCAAATTTTTTTTTTTTTTTACTGATTTATTAGGTAAATAAAGGGACTCTCAGACTTGGAAGGAACCTCTCATAAGCCATATAGCAGAACTACTCCTCCCTTGATGAGTGGTTGACCTACCTCTGCTTAAATACTTTCAGAGATGGGGCATTCACTATTCCCTTCTCATCCAGCAGAAGGCAGTTCTCTGTTCTACTGAGCTTAAAATATGTCCCCCTCAACATCTCATTCATTAATGCTTATTCCAACCTCACAATATAAGCAGTTCCACTCTTGCCATTTATAGACTTAAAACCACCTTACTGGGGAAACTGAAGATCTTCCAACAAAGAATACAAAGCCAGAAGAAACAGAAGGAAACCTCTTTTATCAAGCAATCTCATTTTCTTTAAATAAGAGTGAGGATGTGTGCATTTGGGTATATGAGAGAGGAGAGAGAGAGAGGCTCAGAAGCCCTCATAAATACCTTGGGAATGAAATCTAGATCCTAGTTGCAAATTGGCCACCTGAGGGCCACATCTTAAAAAAAAAAACAATTTGAATTAGCTACAACTATTTAAAAATTGGAAAAGTTACATACATATACATAAAATCAAGTTTTCTGGCTTCTTGTAAATTTGGAAATGTGCCTACCCTGGGCCCTCGCTCCCTGGAGATGGGGAACTTTAGACTGAACTGTGCACCCTTTTGTGGCCATGGCCCCTGCTCAAATCGCTCATGGTAGGCTGTGAGAGAAAACCACATTTTTTACCTAGTTCTGAGCAGATTGTGGAGATCCTGGGAATTTCCAAGGAGAAAGAATCCATAATCACCATCTAAACTGAAAATGCCTGAGACGGTTTCCTCTGGACTCTCATTTTTCAAATTGAGAAAGTGGGGCTATTTCCATCCTCATCCATGTGCCTGGTAGAAATAGCAACCAAGATGGCGCCCCACAGCTCCGATGAGGGAGATTCTGACTGGGGCCTGTCTGAGAGAGGGCAGCCTCCTTGTTAACAGACTCATAATGTTTTACAGACCACTTTCACAAGTCGGTGGGAACTAGGGATTCTCCTTGCAAAAAAACACCCCAAAACAATGGCAACCACAACAAACCAACAATAACGCATGCCTTTGCATACCGTGTTTGCACACAATTCCAGGAAGCTCAGGGATCATTGTTCAGGTTCTCAGATTAAGCCTTTTAAAAATAGAGAGCTGGGTGTTGAACTTAGTTTCCTCCTGATCTACAACTTTCGCTGTTTTTAGTACTTCAAGATGCTGTGACCATTTCTCTAAGTTGGCTAATGTCATATCTGACTCTTCCCTGTTTCTCACAGCTACCCTTACCTGGTGACATCTGTCATCTGGATGGTGATGTCCACACAAAGTAGACTGCTGCTATTAACATCCCCACCATTGATTCCCCCTTCTTTTGGTGCAGAACCCCATGTTTGACTTGAGGTATCATCCCTCTCTCACTGCATGGCGTTCTTGGTGGCATTGTCAATCAGAATTCCCCACCATTCCTTGCCCACTGGATGGGCATGTGTGATTGGACTCTCTCTCCATAGAATTTGCATCTTGAGCAGAGAGCCCAAGGATGGAAGACAGCTGGAAGAAATTTATCTCAGAGGCAGAGTCTCTTAATTCCTCTGACTCCAATCTCAGGCTTTGCCCGGTTTTGGTCTTTTTCGACATCTGCTTCTTTAGCTCTTCCTTCGACTCTGTTAGGAACCCCCAATTCCCTTTGTTTTAGCTTCTTGGCCAGAGTTGTATTCTCTTGCTTGCCACCAAAGAACCTAACGGATGAGTCCCACTTAGGTTCACCTTAATTCCACAAACATCTACTGTGCCTGGAACTTTGCATTGCGCTAGGGAGGTCCTGGCGGCCTGACTCCTGGAAACTTCTGGGGTTTGGTGGAGGGGCAGGAGAGAAGCAAGGCTGCTTGCCTTTTACTCATGGTCAGACAGACCATGGCAGGGTGGACGTCCAGGTTTACCACGAAGGCCGGCGCTTCAGCACCCGGGACATGGTGAATGGTGTGATGATCTCCAAGGGGACGTGGAATTGCAGGGGTAGGAGAGGCACATACGGCCCAAGGAGAGGAGCTTGACAGACTGGTTCAAACTGCGGACGACCAAGGGAATCAGAAAGATCCATCTACAGATACCAGTAGCCTCTGGAAGACCTGTGGAGGGACAGCAGGGAGACCAGTCATACCAGAGCATGAGGCAGAAACTGGGAATTGTTGAAACTACCTTGAATAATCCCTTAAACATCCTACAATACAGCACTGTGTTTCAAGGCCATATAGTAGAAAATATTATACACATAGCTCTAAGCATGAAAGTCTCACTCTATGAAGAGCATGAAGGGACCAAGACCTACAGAGAAGATGGTAGAGTCACACTTCCCATCTCAATCCTTCAGGGACATCTATTCAATGAGGGCAGTGATGGGTGAAACTGCCTGCACTTTAGAAATAGCTCTCCTGCTCTTTCATAATTGAGTTTGCACGCAGTCAGAGAGTGTATGATGTGTATGTTGGAAAAACTGTGTTGGGTTGCAGGAGACCTGAATGCTAATTTGGCCTCTACACTATCTAGGCCTTTACACCCCTGAACTTCATTTGCCTCATCCGTGAAATGGGGACATATACTCTGTACCTGCTAAAAGGCAGGGGCTGGATCTGATGGTCTCTGAAATTCTATGATCATGAAAAGATGACCACATGGGACTCATTTTTATCAAGAATAGAAAAAAGACACTGCTTTTTAGTGGACATAAGACTGAGAAAAGCTCAGAGATTGTGTTACTGTAATGCTCGAAAAGCCTTTAATGGTATCTCACAACCTACAAGAAAGAGTTCTAAGCTTGAGCAGGGGATTCAAAGCCCATCGTATGGCAAGTCCAATCTCCAGCCATCTCATTTCACAACAGCCGCTCCCTCTGTGTCCACCTCATGTGCTCGACTCTGCAATCATAACAGACAATTAGAGCCATTCCCCGAGCACACAATATGCCTTCACGATGGGGGCCTTTGCACGTACTCTTCCCTCTGCCAAGAGCGCCCTTTCCCTCCATTTGTAATCTGCCACGTTCCTGCTCCTTGTTCAAATCTCAGAGGTTTCTGTGACGCCTCTCTGTTCCCTGGTCAGGATTAATTCTCCTCCCTTTGAGGCCCTGTAATACTTAGCCCTCACCCAGGTGACAGAGCCTCTCACAGGGAATAAGACTTGGTTGTGTGTGTCTCTGCCTTTCTATGACGCTAGAAATGTGGCCAAATCATGTCCGCTTCCTTGAGTTGGTACTGTGTCTTCCAGGGGGTACATGGGGCTGTGATCACGACAAACGCGCTCATGCCTGCAAACCACTTAGTACATGGGAAACAATCAATACTCGCTATTCTTTCTTCTTCTTCTTAATGATGAGTGTGAATTACTCGAAAACTAAATCTAAGTTGTCACAGTGTATTTTTCTAAATATTATTTATACATTAGATTAAAAATGTGAATTTCTGTTCTTTAGGGCTAAACTTATATTAGTCAAAAATCAATTAGGGGTCACACACAAAGGAAAAAAATGTATCTTGGTTTAGTTTTTTTTTTTTTTTAAGAAAGAGGAATGACATGTATGGGATTGCATTTTTGGGAGAAGATAATATTAATAACCAAAATTTATGGAGTCGTTTCTGCGTGACAGGCACTGTGCTAAGCTCTTTACTTGGACTTACACAGATTATTTCTGACTACAACCCTTTGAAGTGGGTACTATTATCATCCCATTTACAGGTGAGGAAGCTGAGCCATCGAGAGGGGAAGAGATATTCCCAATGTCATGCAGCTAGCAAGTCGGGAGCGTGGACTTAGACCCAGGTCTGACTCACTTCACAAACCACATTCTTAAGCATTTCATTAGGACTCAGCTAGATGGCTTCTCCATGTAAGTGAGTTCTGTGACCCACATTGTCATCACCAGTGATATGAAAGATGTGAGAGAAGCAGGAGTATTTCCTGGACCAGAAGCATTTTGGCCAGAGCAGTATGGGTCCACACAGACTTCCTGGTGGGCCTGGTAAATTAAAAGCAATTAGCACCCAATCACAGTTTTAGAGTTTATAAAGCACCTCCATAACCTCACCTCACGGGATCCTTGCACCAATCCTGGCCCCCAGGTAGACAGCGCTCAGCTGTAGCTCATCACTTGACGCTTCCTGTATCTGCCTGTAAGGACCCAACACATTCGTATTCACCCTGAGCACAGACACAGCACATTCCCAGTGAGGATGTTAATGTGAGGGCTCAGAGCAGGGAACAGAATACGAGAAAAGGTCCATGTGCCTGAGAACCTGAGCGCTTTTAGAAAGTCAAGATGGTGAGCAAAAGGAGAAGAGGCTGCTGGCCACCCTCTAGTGACATCCCCCTTACTGCCCTTTGCAATGATCCCCACATCTTGCCTGGCTTCCTGAGAAGTTGTAAGAGTGTCTATGAGATGATCTGTGGTCCCCAGATTTCACCGTAATTATGATATGTTCTAAGGGACCTTGGTTGGATTAATTGACCCAGCAACCATTACCTCTTCAGTTAACCTGAAGTCACCCTGTCCTCACTCTCAGCTCGCTAGGTTCAGGGAACTCCTGACCCCATCCCACTAAGGCATGTGATTTAGGCCCAGCCAATCAGCATACTTCATCTGCTGGCCATAGGACTGGTTCAGAATGGACATGTGACCCAAGCTGTGGGGATTAGAATTAATCCCAAGGCTTTCAATGGGCCTTTTGGAAAAGAGAAACTCTCTTTACATCAAGGTTGATGAGAGAAGGGCCGGTAACTGAGAGGCTGCCAGCAGTTATCTGCCACTGTGTGCGTGTGAAGTCTACTTGAATAAAGCCCACCCAGAGAAAAATAAACCTAGGAGATAGAGACAGACTGAGTCCTGATGATACCATTTAAGTAGCTGGATCCAGCCATGCCTGAAGTCAGATATGTGCAAGGACTTCTGTCTGCTTTTTGTTTTAAAACTTGGGCCAGTTTGGATTGGTTTTCAGTCACTTGCAAATGAGAGAACTGACTAACACATCAGTCAAAGTTGGGAAGGCACTCAGAAACCATTTGGTCTAATCCCTTTCTTTGGGAAACTGAAGTATAGAGAGGAGAAATATCTTGCCCAGAACACAGGAGAATTAATTGGCCATGTTGGACAAGAATCCAGGTCTCCTGATTTATCCGGTCTACCTCTTTCCACAGTTCAGTTTCCTGGCATCTCTTCTCCATGCTGGAGACGATCCTCATTCATACCTTGCTACTCTCCTCTGATAAGCGGAAGCCAAGCCAGCCCCACCTGCATGGCATCCTTCTGACTTGAGGCCTGATCTCACTCACCAACAGTTGGGGAGGTTGAGGGTGATGCTTGCCTGGGTGGTGACCCCAAACTTGAGGTAGCCAAGGCCTGAGGCTTATGCACAGGGTGGTGATCACGAACATCCCCCTATAAAGGATGAGTGGAAACTGGGCAGGGTCCTGAATCTTATTTTCCAGAAGCAAAACCTGCAAATGGAAGGACCATAATTACACAGTGATTCCTCATTTACATAGAGACCTCATTTACCTGCTGTTTATTATTCTAAATTCATTCATCTCAGCTATCAAAACGCTCAACAGAGAAAAAACAAACTCCAAGACAAGGCACCTCTAGGCACCAGAAACCAATGAATTATAACAAAGTCAGTGACTGAAAAGACCTTAAAAGTCACCTAGACCAGCCATCTGCACTTGAGCATCCTCACACTCAGGAAGGGCTCTGCCTCTGAGCAGTTTTGTGGTCCAGGATGGTGATGATGATGATGATGATGATGACGACAACAACGAGGATGATGATGATGATTGCTGCTACAATGTTAATAGTTAAATAAATAATAGAACCGCAGTTGAAATGCACAAGCTGTTGTCTTTGCAGGAGTTGTTCTTCTGTGCTCAGCTCACCAGGGGAAGCACCATCCCTAATTTCAGGTCTGGAAGGTGACTGACTTTCCAGCAGTAAATGCAGGTGTGCGGTCTGCAGTATCATTTTGGATTCCTTTTGCTTGGCGGGGAGAGGGGAGAGTATGTTACACACCAGAATATGCAACAGCTTCTGCCCAAAGGATGGAAAAGCGATGTAGATCATACTGGCACCAGGACTGAAGAAACCTCAGTGTCCTTATTTGTGGTATGAGTTGGTTGTCTACAAAAATCTCATATCCAGTGTCCTTTCTCTGCTTTTTGGTTGTAGAAAAAAAAAACAGTGGCAGCTGTTTTAGCTCAACTCTTTGGCATTCAACAGGCTTTGGGGTCCACTGGCATCTTTGAGGGCTTGGGAACCATAACAGGCATATATGAAGTGCTTTGGAGTTTCGTGACTCAAAGGGTGGTCAGAGGACAGCACATCGGCCTCACTTGGCAGCTTGTTAGAAACGCAGACTCTCAGGCCTCGCCTGACCTCCTGAATCAGACCCTGCAGCGTAACAAGGCCCCCAGGCGCTTTGCGTGCACGTCGGTGTCTGGGTGGCACCGCTCTGAGGCGCTCCTGATGCTGCTGGTCTGAAGACTACTCTCTGCATAGCCGGGCTTCAGAGCAGTCACCCCTCACCTGGCTGATCATCAAGAGCAGCTGGGGGACTCAAAAAACCCCATAGATTCCTGGATTCCAAATCCCAAAGATTCAGATCCAGTACACCTAACGCAGAGCCTGGGAATCTGTTACTCAACAAGGTCTCAGGGTGATTCTGATGCTTGGCCGGGTTTGGGGGAGATAGCAGCTTACATTTTGTGAATACTTACTATGCATCAGGCAGGGCCTAAGCTCTTTTCATGTATTAATTGGCTTGATCCTCACGATAGCCTTAAGAGATAGGTACCAGTACTAGTCCCATTTTGAGGTGGGAAAACTGAGGCACAAAAAGTGAGGTAATTTCCCAGATTTTGAAATGGCGGAGCTATAACTAGAATTGAGGTAACATGGCTCTGGAGCAGGGTAGCTCGGCTTCCGCTTTACTGATATCGGGGGCTGTCCTGGGCATTGCAGGATATTTAACAGCATCCCTGGCTTCTATCCACCCATTGCCAGGAGCCTACTCCTCCTACTGTGACAACCAAAAATGTCTCCAGATATTTCCAAATGTCCCCCAAGAGACAAAATCACCCCAGTTGAGAACCACTGCTCTAGAGTCTATGTTTGTACCCAGTAAACTGGCTCTGCTGTCTCTCTAAGAACCACCCAGTTCTCAGCGGGGGTTCTCTACCACAGCAGCGAACAGGGGAGGACTTATTAACCCCATTCTAAAAGGATGACTTATCCAGGGTCACGTGGCTTGTGAGTTGCAAAACTAGGTCTCATATCCACATTTCAAGCCTTTCCTTTGTTGATCCCACACGTGGTGCATGTCTGGGGGAAGTTCTTGTGCCTCGTGAAAGAGCAAAGCTGACGGCTAGAGACGGACTCTGCCCAATGGTTATTCCTCATTTCGTTTTTCTTTCTTCAAGTCTTGTCATGGATGTCTATGAGATTACTTGCCCAGAAACCCTCCCCCCACATTCTGAAGGGAACCGATCCCTCCATATCAGTTACGGTTTCTACCCGCGCTTCCCTAACAACAGTCGATGGGTTCCGGGGTGCCGCCTGACCCAAGCTGAAACAATGAATTCCTTTCTTGGATTTCCTGGGACCAGAAAGAACATCAGATTAGTCTCCTTCTGCTGTCTAAAATGGTCAAATGTAAAACTCAAGAGCTGTGGACAGAGCTGGAGTGCATCAAGAGAGAGGAATGAAGTCAACACATAGAGCCGACCTGAGAAGAGGCAGTGGAAGGCAGGATGCAGACTGACTCCTGGGTTTGCGCTGCTCCCAAGGCCTGACTGCCTCATGCTCCTTCCTGGGAGTGGCTGTTCCCTGGAAGTTCCCAGGATCCTTCTCACACAGTCTCCTTTTGTTCTCCAGTTAACTTTAAGTGAATAAGAGTCCTTATTACAGCTCTTCCCCAATAACAAAATATCTACTTGTTGAGGGGAAAAAAACCCCCCTTCTTCGTATCAGCATCTGCTTCTAAAAATCTTATGATCTGTGCAAGCAAGCTAACTGATAATTGACTTCCTATTATTTTGAATGGGATAAATTATGTCACATGACACATCAGCCCCAAACACTCAACGCATTTTTGAGATGTAGCTAAAACTCAGTAAAATATCTATATGTAAATAATGAACTGTGACATTAGGTTATAGAAGCTTACAATGTGATACTGAACGCGAATTAATCTGGTGGTTATAAAAAGTTGCTCTATCTACAGTAACGTCTTCCACATCCTCTTTGTGGATCTTCTTCATGGTTTTCAGCCCATCACGGCTCACTGTGCAGCTTTAGGTAAGTTGCTCCCTGTCTTGAAGGCTCGGTTTCCCCATCTGCACTTTAGGGGACTAGATTCTAGAAGCACCTGGCTCTACAATGGTCCATCTGGACCTGTGTGCAGGCCTTGAGTCCTGGTTATTGTTTCATTGCTGTCTTCCTTTTAGGATTAAAGAAAATTCTCTAGTTAAGCACAGGAAATGTCAATTTCTTATTCATTTGTTTATTATTATTATTATTTTTTTAAAGTTTTTTTTATTGAGGTAACACTGGTTTATAACATTATATAAATTTCAGGTGTACATCATTATATTTCCATTTCTGTGTAGACTACTGATGTTCTCCACTCAAAGACTAATTACCACCCATCACTGTATTCATGTGCCCTATCTCCCCTTTCACCCTCCTCCCTCCCCACCGCCCCTCTGGTCACCACCAATCTAATCTGTATATCTATGTGTTTATTTGTTGTTGTTGTTTTTATCTTCCATTTATAAGTGAAATCATATAGTATCTGGCTTTTTCCATCTGACATTTCACTTAGCATAATATCCTCAAGGTCCATCCATGTTGTTGCAAATGACAAGATTTCATCTTTTTTATGGCTGAGTAGTATTCTGTTGTACACATATATACCACATCTTCTTTATCCATTCATCCATTGATGGACACTTAGCTTGTTTCCAAGTCTTGGCTATTGTGAATAATGCTGCAATGAAAATAGGGGTGCAAATATCTTTTTGCATTCATGTTTTCATGTTCTTTGGATAAATACCCAGAAGCAGAATAGCTGGATCATATGGTAATTCTACTCTTAATTTTTTGAGGAATCTCCATACTGTTTTCCATAGTGTCTGCACCAGTTGACATTCCCACCAGCAGTGCTCAGGTTCCCTTTTCTCCACATCCTCTTCAACACTTGGTGTTCCTTATTGTTTTAATTATAGCCATCCTGACAGGCATTAGGTGATATCTCATTGTAGTTTCGATATGCATTTCCCTAATAATTAGTGACGTTGAACATCTTTTCATGTGCCTATGGCCATTTGTATATCTTCTTCAAGAAAATGTTCAGACATTTTGCCCATTTTTTAATTAGGTTGTTTGTTTTTTGTTGTTGAGGTGTATGAGTTCTTTATATATTTTGGATATTAACCCCTGATTAGATATACGATTTGCAAATATCTTCTCCCAGTTGTTAGGTTCCCTTTTCATTTTGTTGATGGTTTCCTTTGCTGTGCAGAAGTTTAGTTAGGTGTAGTCCTGCTTGTTTATTTTTCTTTTTGTTTCCCTTGCCTGGGGAGACATGGTATTCAAAAAGATATACCTAAGACTGATGTCAAAGAGTGTACTGCCTATGTTTTCTTCTAGGAGTTTTACAGTTTCAGGACTTAGATTCAAGTCTTTAATTTATTTTGAGTTAATTTTTGTGTATGGTATAAGATAATGGTCTATTTTCATCCTTTTGCATGTAGCTGTCCAGTTTTCCCAACAGCATTTATTGAAGAGACTTTCCTTTCTCCATTTTATGCTCTTGGCTCTTTTGTCGAAAGTTAGCTGTCCATAAATGTGTGGGTTTATTTCTGGGCTCTAAGTTTTGTTGCATTGATCTTTGTGTCTGTTTTTGTGCCAGTACCATGCTGTTTTGATTACTATAGCTTTGTAATATATTTTGAAATCAGGGAGAACGATACCTCCAACTTTGTTCTTTTTTCTCAGGATTGCTTTGGCTATTTGGGGTCTTTTGTTGTTTCATATATATTTTAACATTCTTTGTTTCATTTCCATGAAAAATGTTATTGGAACTTTGTTTGGGATTGCAATGAATCTGCGGATTGCTTTAGGAAGCATGGACATTTTAACTATGTTAATTCTTCCAATCCAAGAGCACGGAATATCTTTCCATTTCTTTGTGTCCTCTTTGATTTCTTTCAACAATGTTTTATAGTTTTCAGTGTAGAAGTCTTTCACCTCTTTGGTTAAATTTATTTTTAGATATTTTGTTATTTTTGTTTCAATTGTAAATTGGATTGTATTCTTAATTTCTCTTTCTGCTACATTGTTGTTAGTGTATGGAAATGCAACTGATTTTTCTAAGTTAATTTTGTACCCTGCAACTTTACTGTATTCATTTATTATTTCTAATAGTGTTTTTTGATGGATTCTT